TATATTATATACTAATATTTTTTTGTATTATTTTAAATATAATAATAAATATATACTATATTGTAATTATATATATTATACTATAATATAGTCGTAATTTTTAATTATTCACAGTAATTCAATCTCATAATTTACTAAACGCTATTATATTGATTTTAGAACCAGCATAGCTACTATAATTATAATTTGTCAAACACTCAACTGTTTTTTATAATATCTGTTTTTTCTTTCAGTATAGCTAAAAGTAATTTTTTAAAAATTTATAATAATACCAAACTAAGTCAATGTAAGCCATCGTCAATACCATAAAGATAATATATTATTTTCAACACGAATTTTGGAATGTCCCTCACAAAACCCAAAAAGGAAAGTACAGGAGCGAAAATTTACGTTTGGTTGGAGGATTCAAATAATGTGATTCAAACCATTTTCGATTTACGTGAATTTTTTATGAGAGAAAATACTGTAGCGAACCATGAATCATGATTCGAATCAGGGAACGAATCCCTCTACCAAACATCCCATAAAATACACAAAAAGAAAAGTCGAAGGCTAATAACCACAAAATTAAAAATAAAAAAAATAAACTATTTTAAAAATGATTAAAAATATAAAAAATAAATTCGTAAGAAAGATCAATGAATTGAATATTGGGCTAAAATTATTTTGATACCATTTGTTATAGCAAAATATCTTATTAGTATATTGTGTTTTTAATAATATTAAGACGATACATTTACTTTTAAAGAAACGTTTTTTTAGTATTATGGAATAGATTTTTGAGATATAAAATATTCATGCTACACTTCTCATTAATTAACAACAAACTAATTATTACTTAAAAAAATTTTAAAAATACTTTTAAAACATTTAAAATTTAAAAATTAAAATAAGTTAACATGTTTTAAAAAATATTTTTAAAATTATTAAACTTTTATTTAATTAATAAAAAACAATTTAGACATTATATATCCTAAAAATCAATCATAAACTATTAAATAACGTTTCTTAAGAATAAAAGTACCGTATTAATAGATTAAAAAAAAGTACCGTATTAATAGAATTAAAAACATAATATACCAACGTTACCGAAATGATTTTATATGCCTTAACTATATGCTTAACCGACTCTATACTCCACAGTCCACACGACTTCAGAGTTCAGAGACACTAATTCCTCCAACCATCATATGTCCGTAGAACATATTCAGACCCTCATTTTTTAGTATTTTGTTCTCTTTATAAAAACGCGGTGCAAAACAAAATGGAATAAAGCCTATCTCCGACTCTAAGGTGTTGAAAAAAAGTAAGAAATAAACTAGTAATATATTATATTAAATTTGGTTTCTGGTTCGCGCTATTCTCGCCTGCTTTGAACGCTTTAAGAACCAGATCAACGAACCTACAAACACATTACAAACAAAACAGAATACCCTTTTGTATTGTTCTAACGTTGGCCTTGTTTCAAAACAACCATTAACAATGGCGGCGTTAAGCAACAAAACCTTGGACACCCAATTCCCTCATTGGTATTCCCCAGAAACAGGAATCTGCCACAGCACAAATCGTCCCATAACCTTCCCCTCAGACCCATTTCTCGATGTTGTCTCCTTCATTTTTTCCAAACAACATAATGGTGTTTCCGCTCTCGTTGATTCCTCATCTGGGTCTTCTTCAATATCCTATTCAGAGCTCCACCGTTTGGTTAAATCAATGGCCTCTGGTCTCCATTCCATGGGTGTCTCCAAGAACGACGTCGTTTTGCTTCTCCTGCCGAACTCCGTTTACTTCCCGGTTATTCTCTTGGGGGTCGTGTATTTGGGAGCCATTGTCACTACCATGAATCCTCTCAGCACTGTGACTGAAGTCAAGAAGCAAGTCGCCGACTCCAAGGCTTGTCTTGCTTTCACTCTCCCTGAGAAAGTGGAGCTGTTGCGGGCATTCAGGGTTGGCGCGATTGCGGTGCCTGAAAATTTTAACTCGAGCCAGAAACCAATGAGTAGTTTTCGAGAGTTTTATAAGCTTGTATCTTGCGAGTTTGATTTTGCTCCAAGGCCATTGATCAGGCAACAAGACACAGCTGCGATAATGTATTCCTCGGGAACAACTGGCGCGAGCAAAGGTGTTGTGCTAACTCATGGGAATTTCATAGCCATGGTTGACCTTTTTGTGAGGTTTGAGGCCTCACAATACGAGTACCCGAGATCGGAGAATGTGTACTTAGCTGTTCTGCCAATGTTCCATATATATGGACTGGCTCTTTTTGTTATGGGACTCTTGTCTTTGGGTTCTACCATTGTTGTCATGAGAAAATTTGATGTCAACGACATGGTGAAGACCATAGAAACTTACAAGGTCACACACTTCCCTGTTGTTCCACCAATGTTAATAGCCTTGACAAAGTGTGCAAAAGTGGTTGGTGGGAAAGGTTTCCGGAGTTTGAAGCAGGTTTCATCTGGTGCAGCTCCTATCAGTGGGAAAATCATAGAGGACTTCTTGCACACCCTTCCTCATGTTGATTTCATTCAGGTATAAATGTACAACTAATTCCTCCTTTTCTTTTCCATTTTTTCGCAATCGTTTTCTTTAGATTTATTTCGTTTGGATAGATTTTCTATCTGGTTCAGTTTTTGAAGGGGCAGAAGGATAGTTTTGGATGTTGAGTTCTGCTATTACGCATATCAATCCACTCTGCTTAAAAATATAGATGGATTTTTTTCTTTTTCATTTTTGTTATATCGTACAAATCGAATCAACAGGAAATTTTGAGTAATGAAATTTGTGCGTAGTAGAACAAGGGTCAAATGCGTTGGTGGTGCACTATGAACTTTCTGGTCTTCGGCAACTTGGATTGTGGTCTAATAGCTAACAAACGTCAATTAATAGACGAAAATGCCTCAAGACGTTTACCCAAATGTACCAGAAACTTTTCATTGGTGGTACAGTTAGACTCTACTTTTTAATTTTGACATTTGGGACCCTGATTATCAATCGGACTAAATTGGCAAGCATTTTTAAATATAGGGTTCTAAGTACCAAAAAATTAAAAATTAGCGGTCCAACTTGCAAATGATGAAAACTTTAGGGTGTGTTGGTGCAAGTTACCTAATAAAGCAATGTACAACTTGTTTCCCATCATATATAGGTATTGAATGATGAAAAATTTTGGTCTTTCAGGGCTATGGCATGACTGAGTCAACTGCAGTAGGAACTCGTGGCTTCAACACCAAGAAGTGTAGGAAATTTTCTTCAGTAGGACTTTTGGGTCCAAACATGGAAGCAAAAGTAATGGATTTGAATACAGGGTCGTTCTTGCCTCCCGGTAGTTGTGGCGAACTTTGGCTACGGGGACCAGCAGTTATGAAAGGTGAAAAAACTTTCTTGGTTCCTCAAATCTCTCTTATTGATTTGTCAATGCTAAAGGTGTTTGCTCTCTTTTATGAAACTTTGTTTATGTTTTTCATCATTTTGGACAAAAAAAGTGTGTTTCATTTTATTTTGATTGTAGATTGTCATACCATAGGTGAAGTTGTAACCTACTGATGATGTTACTTCATGCTTGTGAATTTCATTCTCACAACTTATTTCAGTTTACTGCTTCATGCTCCTTTTGCATAAATCTTTTGTTGATTTACATATAAATTATACACCTACAACTACAACATGTCATTTTCTCTGTTTATTTTCCCTCAAGCTTGTAAGTGCAAGTGCATGCTTCAAAAAGTCTTAGTATTAAAATATTGCAGCAGAGTATAGCTGCCATATCTGTTTTGTCAAACTTTAATTAGAAAACCACGGCCATTTTGATGACTGTTTGATTATAGCGCTTAATTTTACTGTTGAGTTTGCAGGATACCTAAATAATGCAGTAGCAACTATGTCAGCAATCGATAAAGACGGTTGGTTACGTACTGGAGATATTGTTTATTTTGACCAAGACGGATATTTACATGTAGTTGACCGGTTGAAAGAGATCATCAAATACAAGGGCTATCAGGTATAATCTGTATTCGGGATGATACTAGTTGCTGATGACATACAATGTACGAGTGTTTTCTTGCTTGATCTGTCAACTTGTCTCTGAACTAATATAGTATGGTGATGTAGAAGGAAAAATCCTTTTGATTAATTTGTGTTTGCGATCGTGAATACTGCAGATTGCTCCTGCGGACTTAGAGGCTGTCCTGGCTTCCCATCCTGAGATTCGGGACGTAGCTGTAGCAGCGTAAGTGTGCACACAAAAACACCAGATCCAATTTAAGGCACTAAAGCATGTGGATATGAAAAAAAAA